TCAGGGCATGTACGGTGAGGATTTATCCATTGTGCCATTACACTGGGCCCTCTTTTTTTTTTTAAATTAATTTATTTATTTGATAGGCAGATTGACAGAAAGATAGAAAGAAAGACAGAGGAAAGATATTCCACTAGCTGGCTCACTCTCCAAATGGCTGCCAACAGCCGGATCTGGGATAGGCTGGAAACAGGAGCCGATATTTCGTGTGGGTTTCTCACATGTGTTGGGCAGGAGCCCAAGCACTTGAGCTATCTTCTGCTACCTTCTCAGCATGCCTTCTCAGGAAGCTGGTTTGGAAGTGGGAAAGCAGGAGCTCAAACTGGCATTCTAATATGAGGTAAAGGCATTCTACACAGCAGGGTAACTCTTAGCTCTGCACCACCCACCCTCCCCCAATGCATATTTTAATGATGCACATTTTTATAGCATTTTTGAAATCCCCTTATATGCACGGATTTCAATTTTCTTGCATGAAAATAATTTTTTTAAATTTTTACTTTCCTATGAACTTTTTGAAGTTCTCTTGTATGTTCATCTAGGCACTAGCATTTGATCTTCCCAAGAACCGAGTCAGGGTGGAATGGTAATGTATTGGATAAAATTACCTCTTAACAAAACTGAGCTCATGTGCACTGGTATTCCCTAAGCTTATGAAGCTGTGTTTTGTGGTGCAGCGAGATGGAGAAACTCTGAGCTGTTTGTTCCCCCCTGGGGGGTCTTCTCTAAGAAGTCTTTGACTATGCCTACGTCCTATGGAGTCTTCCTGATGTTTTCCTCCAGTAATTCAATGGTGGCAAGTTGTAGGTTTAGATCCTTGATCCATTTAGAGTTGATTGTTGTGTAAGGTGCAAGGTAGTGTTCTTTCTCTTCCTTTCCTCCTTCCATCCCTCCTTCTTTCTTTCCTTCCTTCCTTCATTCTCATTTCTTGTTTCTGTAAATATATATCCGATTTCCCCAGCACCATTTGTTAAAGAGACTATTCTCTTCCCCTGGATTTATTTTGGTTTGCTTGTCAAAAATTAGTTGGTTATAGATGTGTGAGTTCACTTCTGGGATTTCTGTTGTGTTTCATTGATCTTTAGATCTGTTTTTGTGCCAGTAGTAGAATGTTTTGATTACCACTGCTCTGTAGTACATCTTGAAGTCTGGAATTCTGATACCAGCTTTATTTTTTATTGCTTAAGATTGCTTTAGCTGTTTGGAGTCTCTTGTACTTTCATATAAATTTCAGCATTACTTTTTCTAGCTCTGAGAAGGATATCATTGAAATTTTGATTGGAATTGCATTGAATCTATAGATTACTTGAAGATATAAAATGGAAATTTTGATGATGTTGATTCTACCAATCCCCAAACGTGGCAGATTTCTCCCATGATTTTATGTCTTCTTGTATTTCATTCTTTAATGTTTTGTAGAGATTCCACATGTCCTTGGTTAGCTTTATTGCGAGATATTTGATTTTGTTTTTTTCCTCTCCTCTATTGTGAATGGGACTGATTTTGTAAGTTCTTTCCAGCCATGGAATTGTTCCTGTATATTGACTGTTGATTTATGTGCATTGATTTTGTACTGGAGACTTACCAAACTGAAACAATTTCTAATAGTCTCTTAGTTGAGTCCTTTTGTTCCCCTATATTGAGAATCATGTCATCTGTGAACAGGAATAGCTGGACTTCCTCCTTTTAAATTTATATTCCTTTGATTTCTTGTTCTTGCCTAATAGCTCTGGCTAAAACTTCCAGTACTATTTTGAATAGCAGTGATGAGCATGGGCATCCTTTTCTGGTTCTAGATCTTAGTGGAAATGTCTCCAGGTTTTCTTGTTCAGTATGATCCTGACACTGGATTTTTTCATATATTGCCTTGAAGAATTCAGATATTGTGTAGAGGAATGATTCTTCTACGCCTAATTTGCCTAACGATTTTAACATGAAGGGATGTTGAACTTATTGAATGTGCTCTCAGCATCTGTTGAGATAATCACGTGGTTTTTATCCTTCAGTTTGTTGATGTGGTGTATCCATTTATTGATTTGCATGTGCTGAAGACGAATACCTGCTGCATACCAGGGTTAAATCTCACTTGGTCTGGATGAATTATCTTTCTGATGTGTTGATGAATGTGATGGGCTAATATTTTGTTGAGGATTTTTTGCCTCGATGTTCATTATCATTTATTTGAAAGAGTTATATATAGAGAGGATAAGACAGAGAGAAAGAGATCTTCCATCCACTGGCTCATTTCCTAAATGGTTGAAGCCAGGCACTCCATCCTGGTCTCTCACCTATGTGGCTGGGGCCCAACTACTTTGGTTATTTTTGCTTGCTCTCCTAAGCTCATTGGCAGGGAGCTGGTTCAGAAGTGGAGTAGTCAGGGCTTATACTGGTGCTTATATGACAATGCTCCTGTCACAGGTGGCAGTGCTGGCTAAGCCAGTTGTACCACCACAATGCCAGCTCCACCATTTCCCTCACATTGAGTTCTGGCCCTATTTTTGATAAGTGCTTAGGGTAGGACATAGGCAGTGGAAGCTTTTCAGAGACTCAGGTTCTGTAATGGCACTGACATTTTCCTTGCAGGAGTAGACAAACTAGTGGGCAAGATGCCCAGTCCTAAGTCATTGTGCCTGGGTTCAGTTCTCAGCTGTGGCTCCTAATTCCAGCTTACCACTAATGAACATCTTGGGAATCAGAAATGATGGTTCAGATGATTGAGTTCCAGCCACCCTCTTGGAAGATTTAGATCCTGTTTCCAGCTCCTGCCTCTGACTTGAGCCCTTCCTCTGTGCGCATTTGGGACGTTAACAAGAGGGCAGAGATTTGCTTCCTCTCCTTGTCTTTCAAATGACTTTAGAAAATTCTTTAGATGTGAGTCTGGAAAGTTTATCATAAATATTTGATTTTAGACACACAGAAGGACAGAATGAACTGACTGACAGGCCCAGGACCTCTGGCACTGTGAAGGTACAAGAGTGAAGAGTTTTAGCTTAGCTCAGGTCTAACCCACCACGTGGTGTTTGAATCCACACTCTGACATTCTAAACAAATTCTTGGCCAACTTCTGGCCATCTTCAGTGACTGGACACCTGCTGCCTGCCTCCCAGAGTCTTTGGAGAACTCTAATTTGTTGCCAAGTTTTCCTTTCTTATAAGGGAATGCTGAATGAAAAAATCTATACATTCACAATGGATTTTTAGGGAATTCAAGAGGCTGGCATTTGTCATAGTGGGTCAATTGACTGCCTGTGGCACCTGAATTGCATATGGGTGCTGGTGTGTGTCCTGGCTGCTCCTCTTTCAGTCCAGCTCCCTGCTAATCCACCTTGGAAGGAAGGGAAAGATGGTCCAAGAGCTTGGACATCTGCATCATGTGGGAGACCTGGATGAAGTTCCTGGTTCCTGGCCCAGTTTTGACTGTTGTGGTCATTTGGGGTATGAATCAGCAGGTGGAAGATCTTTATTCTCTCTTTTTTTTTATGTGTGTGTGTGTACATGGATATGTGTGTTTTGTATGTCTGTGTCTCTATAACTTTGCTTTTCAAATAAATAAAAATTTTTTTAAAGAACTTTAAACAGCATGGGAAGATACTAACAATAAAACTTGTTAAAAACAAAGATGTAAAATTGGATATAAAATGTCATCTCAACCTTATTTTAACAGTATATAAATATTTAAAAACATTAATTGCTGTTACTCTTGGATGATAGGTTCTTTGAGGGTTTCTTTTTTTGTTTTGAGAGAGTGAAATGAAGAGGTCGGATGATCTTCCATCTGCTGGTTCATGCTTCAGATGCTCGTCATAGCCAGGGCTGGGTGAAGGACAGAGCCAGGGATTCCATGTGGGCCTTCCAGTTGGGTGACAGGGACTCAAGCACTTGGACTGTCACCCACTGATTCCCAAGAACAATGAAAGGAAACTGGATCATAAGCAAAGGAACCAGGACTTGAATCAGTGATCCACCATGGGGTATGATATCCAACGTGGCAGCTTAACCAGCTGCGCCACAGATCCCATCCCAGAGGCAGGGGATTTTTTTCTTTGCTTGGCCATGCATCATCCTTGGTGAATATTTCTTAGTGGTTATGTATTACTTTATTATGATGGTGGGGAACATAGACGTGGAATTTCTTTTCAGATTTATCCCTATTGGTCCTCAGTTGAAACTCTGAGGACAAATCATCAAATTATCTTATTATCCCATATAATAACTTAATGCTCCAAGCTTTATGGCACAATTAGTACTAGGAGAAAAGAGGGGCATCCCAGGACAAGATACAGCCTTGGGCAAGGTTTGGTGGGTGTGAGTGCCACTAGGGGAGAGGGGACTTTAGTGGAAGGGTCCTGCTGTTGTGCTGTTGAAGAGAAGGAAGTACTCAGAGTCCCCTCTTACCAGCCACCACTGCTACCACTATTTAGTGTCAGCATATTGAAGAGACTTCGACCTTTCAAATACTGAGATAATATTACTACAGGATTATGTTGTGTTGGGTTAGCATCATGGGGATTTAGGACAGGAGTAGCCAACACTCCACTGAAGGCTGAAAAATAATTCTAAGTTGTATTTCCGTACTTGAATTCCAAAAAGGCCTCACGATTCCTGGTCAAGGGATGCTCACTGGCTCATCCTTAGTTACGTCTGTGTGGTGGGAGAGTGATGAGAAATGCGAAGTGTAGATTTTAAGAGTACTTTTTATCTTATCTCTTTTTTCCAAAGCAGTCTGCAAATTCCTAAATTAATGATAGTTTTGGAAATAAGTCAATGCTATCCATAAATATTTGTTGATTAACCAGGAATTTTTTAAATTAGATAATGCATTCGGATGTAGTTCAGTCCGAGAAAATAACAGCCATCAATGACCAATTTTAAATGTAGTGTTTATAAAAGGTCTGAAAGTTGATATCTTCTATAGTTGTGCTATCAGGCCAGACACTGGGTTTGAACATTTGTTGCATCTAAAACAAACCTCTCTCTCCTTTTCTGTTTCTTTGTTTCCAGGTGATTTCCCAGCTGGAAGCCCAAATTTCTGAGCTTACGGGACAGCTGGGCGAGGAGTCTGGGTCTCGCCAGAAAGCTCTCCAGAGGGCACAGGATGCAGAAAACAAGTCGGAGATTCTTCAGGCTCAGTTAACACACCTGGAGGGAGAGCTGGTTTCTGGGGATGTTTTGCGAGACAGCTTGAATTTTGAGAAACAAAAAGTAATAACCTGAGGGCGATGTCATGGGTGGAAAAATCTGTTGTGGTATAAAGTTTTACATGAAAATATTCTGAGTTTTGCAGACATTAGAATGGTTTACTCATGAGTCCTGAGTAAAGTCCAAAAAGCAATGGATTTCTTCCCATTGCTTGGAGCTTCTTTAATGAAAGTCAACGGATATAGTAAAACTGATATATGTGAGGCTCTGAAGCTTTGTCTGAATCATACGTAGTTTCTAATCTTAAAAGACTCATGCTAGAAGGGGAAGCAGACATTCAGACAATTTGCTGTATTTAAAAGCTATGTTATAATTGGATTAATGCAAGCATTACAGGAATGGGTGGATAAATGAAAGATTTTACATGGGAGTGATAATTAAATTGATCTTTAAAGACAAAGTAGAATTATGTAGAAAAAAGAGACACAGATTGTAAGGAAAAGAATTTGAAAATGAATTCTTGCAGAGGCAAGGGGGACTGTCTTCAAAGAAGGCAGAGGAGTTCTTTCCATGTGGCATGAGCATGCTGATGTCACTGAGGCTGTGGCAAGAGACTAGGCTGGACTGGCATGGCTTATGTAATAAATGGTCTGAGCATCTCAGTAGTTTAGAAAGGTAATGCCACTGCTGAGCTCAGATTGCAGACAGGAGGGACTGAGAAATGCAGAAATTGGTAGCCTAGTGGGAAAGGAAGTGAGAATTAGGGGAGAAGGGGTCCAGAGTGCAGAGGTCATCAGTGACCTCTGAGAAGGAACTTGTGATGGAATCATAGATAATGAAAGCCGGGTCACTTTGAGCTGAGCGCGACCTGACAGGGCAGGGATGGAGACTTAGATGTGGACTGGTGCAGAGTCTGGAGGCTAAAGAGAAGAGAGGCTCAAGGAAGCAGGTGTGAGAAACAGGACCAAGAGAAGCTGGGCAGGGTGGGGAAGACTGTATCTGTGGGCTGTGAGATTTCCACAGGAGGGAGGGTAAGAAAGGAAAGAGATGAAAGTGCAATTTAGAACATGGGCACATTAATCATTTTTATTCTTTTCTACCTAATAAAAAAAATCATGGAGGGTTGGATATGAAGAGATGCACAGAAAGTTCCTGGAAAATTCAGTCTGGTAAGTAGGTAGGTGAGCTGGGAAGATCAGGTAGTACAATTAATGCTATAATAGAGACAGGGAGCCAATGAGCTGGGGGCTCTAAGAAAGGGGTGATGGCTTTTCCCCTGTCCGTGTGTGAGAGAAAATGAGCCCTTACAGAAGCTCTGAGGTTTGACAAGGGTCTTAAAAGACAAATAGGCATCTGTCAGGGAGAAGAGGTGGGGAAAAACTTGAAGTAGAAAGGACAGGGGAGGTGTGTGAAGATGGCCTGGGAAGCAGAGCAGGTGCAAGGGAAAATGGAGTGCAGGGCCTGCTGAGGCCAGAGGTGTAGGGTAGCATGCAGGCAGGCAGGGATGATGGAGAGAAGACAAGCCAACCGCAGGCTTCATCCTACAGATAGTGGGAAATCATGGGAGGCTTCTGAGTAAAAGGAATATTTCTCTGAGGCAAGCTGGTTCAGAGGGTGTTGAGATCAGAGGTCAGAGGGCTGAGTCAGTGGGCTCTTAAAAGAGTCCAAATCCAAAGAGAATAGTGGTTTAACCCAAATGGCTTTGTAACTGAAGATATGGGATAGATTTGAGAAATATGGGACAGTCAAGAGAATTTTTCCTTTTGATATCTGATAAGTTATGTAGCTGAAGTCAAAGTTTTGACTTTGGAAATGAAGTTTGTGCTTGAGTCCAATGTGGTAAATTGGAGACAATCTAACTGCCAGCCTGATTGCTGGCTCTAGATAGCTTGTGAACATGTTAAGTGTGTTCAAGGCTCAAGTGACTTCTCAGAGTGGTCCCTCTCCTCCCCCAGTGGCGGTGGTAAACTGCCTGTGCTTGCCCAAACTATCCTCAGTATTTCATTTCTTCATTGCTTAAAGAGGCATAAAGTCAAAGAAGGGGTGAGATTGTGGGGAGGAGGACTCTCATCCACTGGTTCGCTCTAAATGCCCAGTAGATCAGAGCCAGGAGCTGGGAGCCGAGTCTAGGTCTTCCGTGTGAGTGGCAGACAGCCCACTAATTGATGTAGTACCTGTTGCTTTCCAGGGTCTACATTAGTAGGAAGGTGGAGTCAGGAGCTAGAACTGGGACTCCGGCTCAAGCTCTCTTACAGGGGATGTGGGCATTGTAAGTGTCATGCTAACTGCTAGGCCAAATACCTGCCCTAGATTATTTAATGTTTTTTTAATTGTTATTTTTGATGGTATTTACATTGTTGGTCAGAGTAGGAAGGATCGAGGGTTGGGAAAATGGGTGAGACCATTGTTTCCCAAATGTCTTCTTTCTCCTGTATCTGGGGGTCTGGGGGAGATAAGTGGAGGAGCTGTACCCACTCTCCAAACTGCTCTGATACCCAAGAATGGGGAATACCTGCCCTGGGTTTTTGAAAAATATTTTATTTCTGTAAGATTAACAAATTCTGTGTTTTTTCATAGTATAGATTTAGGAGCATAGTTATACTTCCCATGCCACCCAGCCTCTGCTCCTGTTCCCCACCCATCTTCCTCCTTCCTTATCCTCCGGATTGTTTTTAAGTATTTCTTTGATGTATTCCAGTTTGCTTGAAGCCAGAGAAAATATATTATTCCATGTTTCCCCAGGGTCTAGAAAAAGAGTCAATGCATATCATTTGAAAATTATGGAAGAAATATATCAAAGGCAAGCATTTCATATAGATTGATACCTTGTTCCTCATCTCCAAGTAAATGAATTATTTATTTTAATTTGGATTAAGCTAAAATAATGCTGGGTTATGAAAGCACCTTATGTAAGATATTTCTGCCCATGGTGCCTTTTTCATTAATAACTGCATATGAAAATACATATCCTTGTGAGGGTAGCGTTATTTAAAAATTGAAAGGCCAAGTTGTGCTAAATTGAAATGCTAAGTGCAGGTGACCTACATTTGTATAAAATAAAGAATGCATAGTTTCTTACTTATGCCAAACTGTGATTCAAATGAACAAAATATGTAGCAATCCTTCATTTCTGTATAGTTACTAGTTTCTTACAATCTAAGTCTTCTGTGGGCTATGGCTAAGATCCTTAAAATAAGTACTTCCTCTGTGAGGTTTTAGCATGGTCCCATCATACCCCCTTCCCCACAATTGTAGGTCTTACCTGTTAAGTGGATGAGTCACATGTAGAAATAGGAATTTACTTTATGTAAAATATAAGCAGCAACAGATCACTTTTTTAAAGTTTTATTTTATTTTTATTGGAAAGTCAGATAAACAGAGAGGAAGATCTTTTGTCCAATAATTCACTCCCCAACTGGCCACAATGGCCAGAGCTGAGCTGATCCAAAGCCAGGAGCCAGGAGCCTCTTCTGAGTTTTCCACGTGGGTGCAGGATCCCAAGGCCGTGGGCCATCCTCTACTGCTTTCCCAGGCCACAAATGGAGCTGGATAGGAAGCGAGGCTGCCAGGATTAGAACTGGCACTCATATGGGATCCCAGCGTGTTTAAGGCGAGGATTTTAGCTGCTAGACTGCTGTGCTGGGGTTAACACATCCCTTTTGTACGCACAGATTAGAAAAAGTTCCCAAGAGAGAGCTGATAGAGAATTAAGGTGTGACAATTTAATGCAACAAAAGCAATATATAGTGTCACATCAGAATGCAATAAGCCACATCGGTAATGAATATGATTTGTAAAGAAGAGATCAAATTATATTTGTATGCAATTTAGAAAATTGGAAAGTGGAAATACCTTCATTCTGGTGGCTCAACTATGGATAATTCTGGTCTTTAAGACTGTTTGTTTCAGTCAGCATGAACTTATATTTGTTTAAATGTTTGTTGCCTGAAAATGTCAGATGGATGAAAAGTTATTCCAATAAGAAGATATCAAATTAGTACCCGCCCCCAAATGAGAACCCGATATAGGAAGCCACTGATTGATTTGCTTTTGCAACAAGCACACACTCACCAGTATTGTGTTTCTGGGCATGGTCAGACTGGCTGTAGAAATCAAGTGGAGGAAGAGTATGAATCTCGCTGTAAATTTAGCCATTAAAGTATGAATCTTGGTTTCCCTCATCCTGCTCCATTTTAGCATGTCATTCACTTAATTTTGATACATTAGCATCTTAAAAACATTTTTCAAAGCATCGTAACTGCACGAAATATAAAATTGTGTTTGTATGAGGAGCTTTGACTTTGGAATGATCTGTAGAGGCTGCTGGGAGTTCAGCTATCAGCTTCTGCCTTTGAGGTGAGGGTCCAGGGAGGTGGGAAATATTCCTGTGGACGGTGTGTGAGTGGGTGGGTTCCGGGGGCTGGGCTATCCTTGGAGGCAGGACATGGTTGTTGCATTGTATTGCCAAAGTAGAGATGAGGTAGTATTGGGAGCATAGCCACGTTTGTCATATGACTGGATTAAAAACGGCTTGTAATGTTAGGTCAAACATCAAGGTCACTGATCAGAAGCATCCAAAGAGGTTCTGGATAAGCAGCACGGTGGAACTGGCAGGTTGCTTCTGGAATTCATTGCCAAGTATGCGGGTCAAGATCCAGGGTCTGTGATGAGTTTAAAGGACACTACTTGTCAGCTTGTGGGGGAAGAAAAAGGATGCTTGAGATCATGCGCTTACTCCACCTTTGTGTCCCATTTTGTCTTTGTTCCTGTGATTAGTATCTTAAATTTCTGGATGAGCTTTCAGAGAAAATGAAATTGGACCAGATGGCTGCTGAACTTGGCTTTGACATGCGTCTGGATGTAGTTTTAGCTCGCACAGAGCAGCTGGTCCGCCTCGAGAGCAATGCAGTCATTGAAAACAAGACAATTGCCCACAACTTACAGAGGAAGGTAGGGATATTAAAAGTTGGCTAGTGTTGAAAGAAGAAATTTGTGAACCCTAACCTTAACCTTAACCCTAACCCAAATATTGAAAGATAATTTACTCTCATCCACCATCGTTACCATATCAAGATGTAGTATTTGAGTTTTTGTTTCTAAAGTGTTGGTGTGTTTATCACTCAAGGTCTTGTTTCATGGTGAGTAAATGGGACTGCAAGCAACAGTGACTTAAAAAGTGAAAGTTTATTTTTAAATTCTTTTTCTTTTCTTACATGCATTTCTTGAAGCAGATCACTTACTTTTTAGCAAACCAGGCTCGTTTCCGTTAATTAATTTCCCATCACTGTGGTATCCCATTTTTTCTTGGTTCAAAATGATGCCTAGAACCTTTGTATCTGGCTTTGGGCATACTGTTGGGGAAGAAAAAGAGGAATAAGATGATGCAAAAAAATACATGGGAGCTGTCTTTTCACAAAATCGGGCGTTCTGGGTGGTGTGGCTGTAGACGGGAGCTGTCTTTTCACGAGATTGGGCGTTCAGGGTGGTGTGGCTGTAGACGGGAGCTGTCTTTTGAGGAAGGTGCCTAGAACTTGTTACATGAATTTATAGCCCCAGCCAAAATGTTTCAAAGGTCACACCTAATTACAGTGAAGTCTTGAAGATGTATTCCTGGGGCTGTGGCTGTGGCATGGCTGTGGTCTAAGCCTCTGCTTGTAGTGCTACCATCCCATGTGGGCTCTGGTTTGAACTCCTGTAGCTGCACTTCTGATCCAACATCCTGCTGATGGTCTGGGAAGGCAGCAGAGGAGGGCCTGACTCCTTGGACCCCAGCATACACAGGGGAAACCTAGAAGAAAATCCTGGCTCCTAGCTTCAGACCAGTCCAGTACTGGCTATTGTGGCCATTTGGTAAGTGAACCAGGTGATAGAACGTTCTCTCTCTCTTTCTTTCTCTCCTTCTCTCTCTCTAACCCTGCCTTTCAAATGAAAAAAAAAAACCCAAATTTTAACAATAAAGAAAATGCTTTTCTAACTCCGGGTAGCTACTTGTTCAGCTTCAGAACTTCAATTTCTATTATTTTGTGGTGAACAAGAGGACTGTGTAGCATTGCTTGCATGTGTAAGCTCTGCTGACCAGGGAGATAGAGGGAGGCTTCCTTTTCCTTATTCAGAAGAAGAGTCAGAAACAGTATAAGTAAATGAGTGAATGGATGAAAGGGACATTAGCTGTACAATTATTGGTATGGAGGGAAGAAATAGGAAAACATGGATGTGCTCTTATGATGGTTCTTGGGAACAATTCCATGGCACAAATCTGTTGTAGAGACTTCATGGCAAATCACATCTGGAATTCAATTTCACTCCTCCAAGATGTGTGACCTTGGACCAGTTAAATACCTTTCTGTCTGTTTCCTGATATTTAAGTGGGAGATGACACCTATCCCAAATTTTCATTACTTTCTAACAAATACCATTTTTGAACTCTTGGCTCCTAGATGATGCCCAGTCACATCTGGCTTCTTGTCCTTTTACTGCATATTGAGAACTTGCCAGTGTAAATTTGCACAGGGTGGAGTTTGTTGTGAACAAGTTTGAGCGAGGGAGGGTGGCTAGAGAAATGTTAAAAGGAGCTTGACAAAAGTGAGCAGGGATACAGCTTCCATTGTGAGCTGAGAAGCTCAGCAGTTCAGTAAGCCCCTCCCACATTCTGACAGGTGACAGAGGCAGAGTAGCTACGTAGGGAAAATATGAGGATCTTCATCTCATACATTTGACAATTCTATTTAATTTCAGTTCCCAGTGTTTCTTCTGTGTTTTAGAAATTCATTTATTTGTTTCCATTTTCTTTGAAAGGCTTCTTTGAAAGTCTCTCTTCTCTCTCTCTCTCTCTCTCTCTCTCTCTCTCTCTCTCTCTCTCTCTCACACACACACACACACACACACACACACCCACACAGACGAGAGAGAGATATACCATCTGTTGGTTTACTCCCCAAATGGCTGTAGCAGTCAGGATTGGACCAAGTTGAAGCCAGGGTCCCAGAATCCAACCAAGGTCTCCTATGTGGGTTGCTAGGATACAAGTCCTGAGCCATCATTGGCTGCTTCCCAGAGTGTACACTGTCAGAAAGCTGGTTTTGATGCAGAGTAGCCAAGCCAGGCTCTCCTGGCTTGTGGGATGTGGGTGTTTCAAGCAGCAACGTAACCCCTGGGCCACACATATTGCGACATTTTCAACAGGCAGGGAGGAGGGACCTCAATCCAGGTGTTCCATCTCAGTGGCAGTGGTTTCTAATGTGTACTTTTTCATCATCATGAGGCACTCCAGGGGACTTTTTTCCTCTTACAATCCATAGTTATATTCTAAAAGTCACTCTGCTTTCGTTCACTTGGTTGTCAGCGGTGATTTTTTTGAGGATTTTGTTTTCTGCTTGGTTTATGGATCTTATGGTGCATGCATATAACAATGACATTAAGTGAATTAAAACCTTTAAGTCTGTTTTATTTCTACTATTTTAAGCATATAAACAAAGGTTTCTTTAAAATCTCTTTGATATATCCTACTTAAAAAACAGTGGCTTTCCTGTCGGGTGCCTTATGGCTCAGTTCTAAGAGATTGAGTTTAGCCAGTACTAATTTTCACCCTATCTTGTTTCTGAAAACACCAGTGTAGGTATATGGTCATGTGAGTTGCAGAGCATTTTGTTTCTCTGTCTTATTATACTCTGCTCTTGATAAGGCCATTTCAGCAGTCCTGAAAGTAATTTCACATTTTTATTATGATGCACATAATGTTAGAGAGAATCACATGTTGGAAGAAAGCCGACTCCTTCGCACATGTTCTGTGTTTCTTTTGTCCCCTACTTTGCAACTACAAAATTAATTCTTGGAAAAAAATTATGAATCTAAAACAACCCAAACAGGAACCCAATGACTTTTTCTTTTTGAGGGTTTACAAATTAGTCTTTTTCAAGTGTAGATTAAATCAATGCAATTCATTTATGTTTATTGATGTTCAACTATCAAAAAAAAATCCTGTTGTGTCAAACCAGCTGAAAACTCAGAAAGAAAGGCTTGAGAGCAAAGAACTGCACATGAACCTCCTTCGGCGGAAAATAACCCAACTGGAGGAGGAGAAGCAGGTGCGCACGGCCTTGGTGGTGGAGAGGGATGAGGCTCATCTCACCATCCGGAAGCTGGAGAAGAAGGTGGAGAGGTTGCAGAAGGATCTGAGTGTGTGTCGGGACTCCAACACAGAGCTCAAAGCCAAGCTGGCTGATACCAATGAGCTTAAGGTAAGTACACAGCTTCTTTCCCTTGTTTACTGGTTGCTAGTTACCTTCAAAGTATATGCAAGTGATGGGATGGGCGTTTGACCTATTGGTCAAGATGTTTGCACCCCGAATATGTGTCATATCAGAATCCCTGGGTTGGATTCCTGGCTGCTGCTTCTGCTTCCTGCTCATCAGACCTCGGGAGGCAGCAGTGACAGCTCAAGTGGATAGGTTCCTGCCACCTATGTAGGAGACCTGGATTAAATTTCCTGCTTCCTGCACGTTGTGGGCATTTGGGGTATGAATCAGCTCTCTCTTGCTGTCTCTCTCAAAATTTTAAAAATTTAGAGGCCAACATTGTGGTATAGCAGGTCAAGCCACCACCTGGGATACTGGCAATAATTTGTGTACTGGCTGCTCCACTTCCAATCCATCTCCCTGCTGGGAAGGCAGCAGAAGATGCTCCAAGTGTTTAGACCTCTGCCTCCTACTTGGTGACCCAGATGAAGCTGCTGGCTGGCCTAGTGCTGGCCATTACTACCACCTGGAGGGAGTGAACTAGCAGGTAGAAGATCTCTCTCCCTCTTTCTGTAAATCTTTTAAAACAAATAAATAAATCTTAAAATTTTTGAAATATAAGGGGATGTATAGTAATTGTAGTGAAGATACAATGCAATGTGCATCTCTACTTACAAATCAAAGATGGACTCCCAGTGAAACTATTGAATATATCTTGAAAGTAATATCTGGGCTCTCTGGCATTGTCCATGCCTGCGATGCCAATGCACTTAAACGGCAGAATGATGGACTAGGACTGTTTTGGAAGGACGGTACTGTGGTAATGATCTAGGGGACATCAGTAGGGGAAAGGGATTTGGAAAGGAGGGAAAATCCCAGAGCCTACAGAACTATATCATGGAATAATAAAATTAAAAAATACATTTGAAGTATATGCAAATTAGTGGAAGCTGTGTAATGTGCACAGAGAGAAAGAAACGATGAAAACAAGTGTTCTCTGATTTTCTCAAAGTGTAGAAAGTGGGGATAGTGCACAAAATGAGCATGTTTTATCCATTGACTGTGGCTTCAGTATTTGCAGTGAAGCCATCGCTGCTGTGTGAGGTCAATCATTTGACTGAATCATAAAATTCGCACTTCTGTTGTTATGGCCTACAATGGATGCATATGTTAGAATAGTGCACTGTACCCTGTAAAACTGTGTGAGTATTATACTTCAATCCAAAGTTAAGAAATAAATTGAATTTGTGTTTAAACAAAGACTTATAAAGACTACTTATTGAGTGTTTTATGAAGAACTAAGAGAAGCTGTAATCTTTAACATAAAGGATAAGAGGATGAAAATGCTAATTGCCATGATTTGATTGATACATGTTGAATACCTGAGTTGAAATACTATCCTGCACCCCAAAGTAATATGTACAATTATTACATGTTCAAGCATATAAAACTCTTGTGGAATTTAAGTCAGTGATTAAGTAAGAAATTAATGGACAAAATGGGGTAGTACAAAACCCCCACATTTCTTGAAAATATACCAGGAGGAGCAGGCATTGTAGCACAACGACTCAAGTCACCGCTTAGGATGCCTATGTGGTATGGGAGTGCCTGACACCAAGTCCTGTGTCTGCTTCAGATGCAGCTGGCTGTTAATGCCTTAGGAAGGCAGAAGATGATGACCCAAGCACTCGTGTTCATTGCCGTGCACATGTGAGACCTACTTGAGTTCTTAGCTCCTAGCTTCAGCCTGGCTTAGTTCTGACTAAGTGAGCACTTGGAGAATCAGCGAATAGAAGATCCCCGTGTTTGTCTCTTTGCTTATTCTTATTAAATATTTATTTGTTTGTATGGGAAGGCAGAGAGAAGGAGAGATAGAAAGGCCTTTTGTCTGCTAGTTCAATCCTCAAGCAGCTACAATGGCTGGAGCTGAGCCAGGATTTGAATTAGATCTTCTGATATGGGGCAAGGGGGCAGGTGTCCCACTGTGCCAAATGACCACCCTTTATTATCCTTTTGAAAGCTATTTATTTATTTACTATCTTATTTATTTGAAAGAAAGACAGCGAGATATCTAGCTGTATATTTTTGTCTCCATTTATCTGTCTGCGGGAAGTCATGCAATTGGGTCAAATGGCATAGGGGCGTGATGAGCACTGCTCCTCGGTTAGCAGGGCTACGTGGAGTTTCTGGCTGAGTTGCAAGACCCGGCAGAACATCTCTGGTCACCTCATTGCTGCCTCACCCATTGCATGGACACTCAGTCACCTCTCTGATGTTTTATAGAATTCCCCTGAGGGTGGTGGTGTGTTTTTCTGCAAATGTGAGATGATTCCTGTAACTGGTATAACACCTCAAACTGATCAATCATGTTATGGTAAAAGCATCTTTAGCAACATAAGGCAATGACACACAGCTAAAAGCGTACAATAGTATAATTGAGCCCACAATGGCTCCAAACGTCATGTTATATGCCCATCTTTGTCCTGGAGCTTGCCCTAATGTAAGTAGTAAGAAATGGCTTGATAATATCTTTTGGAACAGCTGGCAATCATGGAGGTACAAAGAGTTTGTTTACCATGTGGCTCGAACTGTTACAACACATGAAATGACGCATTTTAGTTTCTCACCACAGAAAGCAAAAGTATGTGGAGCATCTTCTAAAAGGAGACAACTGTGACCACCCCAAATGGCTTAGAATTTCTACCTTATATTGGCACTCATATTTAGGGGAAAAATCCAGTTTATAAAAAGTAAAAGGAAGTTTCTTATAAAGGCCCTCTGTTTGTAGAATGGCTGAATTGCCCTGATCCCTTTCACTGCCCTTTAACAAAAGAACAACAAAAAAAAGACAATTGAATCAGCACTAGGTGAAGGTGGTGATAATTAATGCATGATCGATTATAAGATTTAAGAAGAAATCTTTGATATATGCTTTTATAAATTCCTTTCACTTTTGAACTTTTTTTTTAAATTTCGTACTCTTAATATTTTAAGTAATATTAGTTAGTTTATGTTTAGTGAAGATTGATTTTGGATATAAGTAAATCACTTGTCACTATGTAACCGCATGTGCTGCCAACTGTGGAGTTCCTGGCTTCTGCCAGGTCACTGCAGGCTTGAATGAGTAATAGCTAATAGCTTGCTGAAAATATTTTTCCTAAAGTAAAATAATAATAATGTTTATGATTGAGTTTGTAATCATTCTTTTATAATGAAGTAAAAATGAAACAGTTGGATGTTGGGCAAAAGCTTGTGATAATTTGTGTATAAATAAAGAAGGCAACTTCTCTGAGTTGTCCATTATGAGCATCATGCCGTAGTGGTCCATGTGTCTCCTATTCTTATCTCCTCGCTGATCCACGCATCCTTTGCAAGCTCTTGAGTTAGCAGGAGCTGCTCTCCGGTATCTGTCCATCTGGCTTTCCATGTCTCCCACATGAGTGGCAGGGATCCAAGTATTTAAGCCATCGTCTGCTGCCTCCCATGCGTTCCTGCATGAGCAGGATGCTGGATTGGAAGCAGAGGAAGAGTTGTGATCCCAGACACTGACATGGATGCAGGGGGCCCACCTGCTGTATCACGATTCCTGCCCAACCATATTATCTTTTTTTTAAATTGTTAATAACATTGTATTATGTGATACAGTTTTATAGGCACTTAGATTCCCCCCACCCCTCCCACAACCCCATGGTGGATTCCTCCACCTTGCTGCATAATCACAGTTGAAGTTCAACTGGGATTCCTTCATTGCAAGCATATACCTAGAATAGAGTCCAGCATGTTATTGTCCAGATAAGTTCAGCGGCTTCTAGGGGAGACCTTCTCTGGTCTGAAGGTAGAGCTAACAGAGTAAAGTCCCTGTCAGTTAAAAGCCCCAACAAAACATCAGCAACAATATACAATGTTATGAAATTGATTGACATAGTATTGAGTAAACACTGTGCTAAAAATAATGCAAGTTCAATTTTTCACAACACATGCCAACCATATTATCTTTTAATTCATTTTCCCCACAAACTTTTGGAAGTGCCATATTAGGTGATTGTGTGATTTATGCCATAGATTCTTTTTTTTTTTAAAGATTTATTTTTATTATTTTTTTTATTGGAAAGGCGGATATACAGAGATGAGAGACAGAGAGGAAGATCTTCCGTCCAATGATTCACTCCCCAAGTGAGCGCAACGGCCGATGCTATGCCGATCCGAATAGATTCTTAAGGAGAAATTAAACAACTGTTTACTAAGAAATTGGCAGGCAATGATATTCTTGTTGTGCTCTGTAGGCTGCACCATATCAGGCACAATAGGGAGGTTCGACAGGCTGGGGATATGTTCCTATATTTGAGGTGTTTGAGTTTTAATGAACACAGAAGAAACAAATTAAAATGACAAGAGTTAATCAAAATATTTAAATTCCATGCATGTGTGCCACTTGCAATGATGTGTGACTCCCTATGGACCCCTCATCCCTGGCAGATATGCACAGCATAAGTGCAGCAGACAAGAACAAAAATACATTCTGGCTCCATGCAGATCAGCACTCTGAAGCTCCCTTCTTGGAATGTTTCTGAATTTGGAAACCAGCTGGGAAAGAGACCCTGGAGTGAAGCCAGCCCTTGAACATGTGGACAGAGTACAATATTGTGGAAAGCGTTCCCCACTGTATTTTCCCCTTCTGGCTAATTAGTTGCTTTCCTTCCCACAAGTCCTTCTGTCAATAAGGACTAAGCCATGAACTTGAGGCTTTTTCCCCTGGAGAATGGGAGTGCAGACAGGGCCCCAGGGTGGGAGTGCAGAAAAGACAACACAATTGCATACTGGGGGAGGGGAAAGCCAGAGAAAGCACCTGATGGGGACCTTGGAAGGGGGGTGGTGGTGGAGAGATCAGGGGTTGTGTCCCCTCCACCGCTCCTGCCTCACAACTGACTTTGGTGGGTGTGGTGGGGTGGAGCTAGAAATCCTGAAGTCAGTGTCAGCTGTTCCCACCCTGGCTGGAGGCATGG